ATTACCATTTATTTGGATAATGGGTGTTCAAGTGGGTCTCATCATGGGTGTCCCACATGTATCCAACAATAACAATACTCCTAGTTAGTAAATTTGCATATAAAACGTGAATTATACGCCCAGCCGTATAATTCTTGAATTCCCATATTTTATCAGCACAGCCGAATAATTCGCGAACTATATGCCCCAAACGTTTTATTCGCAAATTATTCAACCATATTTTTGCAAAAGAAAATTTGTTATTTAATAAGGGAAAAGAACGTTGTTTTAGGATGAAGGTTTGTCAAATGAAATGAATTCTCCTTCTCCTCTTCTTCAGTTATTCTCCTCGTCTCTTCTTCAACTATTCTTCTCTTGATCTCTACAAATTCTCCTCTTCATCTCTTGATCTCTTCCAGTCTCCAGCCACAGTTCCTCCTTCTAGGTTGTCAGCCCGTCAAGCTTCACTTTGAATCTCATTAAATCTATTTTCTTCATCTTTTGATCTCTTCTTCTCTTCTCTTTTTAACTTTCTTTTCCAAGCTTCAACTCCAAAACTTCAAGCCTCAAGGTACACACTTTTTGTTATTAACTTATTAATTATTATTGTTTTTTTTCCCCCTTTTTTTGCTTGATTTGTTTATGAAATGATTGATTGATTGTGTGTGTGTGTTATACATAATGAAGCCTTGTGTGTGTTTTTCTTTTTTGTTTGATTGTCTTAGATTCTTGTTATGTTGGTGGATTGCTTGTGTTTGTGCTTGATGTGTGACTTGAGGCTTTATGGATACTGGATGTTTAACTTATGTACCTGGTGTTTCACTGTTTTTCCTTTTTGAACGTTATTTGTGCATTTGGTGAGACATTGCAGGTTTTTGGGAGTTTTTATCTAGGGTTATCAGGACATTTTCCTGGCCACTAGTAATAGGCTTAATGGATTTGTGTTCTGGCAGCTTAGTTTGGTTGGTAGCTGGATTTTCTGTTAATATACTAATGAAACTTCCTCTCTTAATTCTTAAATATCAATGAGAGTGTATCGTTTGTCTTTTCAATTTGTAGTTCAAATATAATCTTACATTCTCACACTCCAAACAAACGCTATTACAATTATAAGGTACCCATTCACAAAAGGAACACCCTAAAATAATCATCTCATGGCTATTAAGAACAAATGAAATACAAATGATTCTACTTCTGAATCTTTTTTACTTGTTTTCCTATTCACAAAATGCCCATACACAATCACAAACAAGCAAAAAAAGAGCCTAAGTGCTTGGTGTCTTAATTAGAGTAGGCTTGATTCAAGTGATTGTGATTGGTAATGTTCTTTTTTTTTTTTTTTTAAAGTTCTTATAGTGTGAGTAGTAGTAGGGGTTGGCTTGGTGTTTTAATTAGAGTAGACTTGATTCAAGGTGGTATGTGGGGGAGTTTTGTGTTGTGGTGGTGTTTTGACTTGTGTGTTTCTCCTTTAGTTGACGGATTGGATTATGGGTGCTGTATTAGTGGTAGGTGGATGATTAGTGGTTGGAGAGTCACTTATTGTGAACGTTGCAGGCTAGTGAATACCTGGTTGAGATGTGGCTTAGTTGTGAGAACTTTTTTGTTGATTCTAGTGGTAATGTTGTTAGTTACCCCCAAAAAAAAAAAATGATTGTGTTTTGTGAACTTGTGTGTATCTACAATTATGCACTGTCGATTGTGTTGTTTTTTTTTTTTTTTTTTTTTTTTTTTTATCATCCTAATTTTCCTTTTATATCTGATAATGTTCTCTTTTCTGTTCTTTTAAATGTAGACTCGAACCAATATGGTACGAAAAAAAGATAAATTTTGGGAGCATGTTGAGGAGCTTCAAGGGAATAAATGGAAATGTAAATTTTGTCAAAAAGTGTTTAGTGGTAGGGCTTATAGAATTAAAGCACACTTATCAGGAATTGCTGGCCATGATGTTGAGATTTGTAATAAAGTCAATCATGAGACACAAACATATGAATTCTTAGCTATGTCTGGAAATGGAAGTTACAAAAAATTAAAAAGTTTCAGTCGGTTCTTCTACTGCTTTAAACTATAATGATCATGAGGAGGAAACAGATGCACCATTTTTGCCACTTTCTAAAGGTAACCAAAGACGTCAAAGTCAAGTATCTTTACTAGAAATTAATAAGAAAAATGACGAGGAGTTTGTTGATAAAAAGTTTGCTAAGTGTTTTGTGGTGAACAATATCGCTTTTAATGTTGTTCAAATTGGTTAAGGCAGTGGTTAAATATGGTGCAACATACAACCTTCCATCTTACTCAACTCTTCAAGCTACGTTAATTCCAGAATTTAGAAAAGGTGTTAATAAGTATGTTGCTATGTTGAAGTGTTCTTGGGATACATCTGAATCTGGTTACACTATAATGTCTGATATATGGATGATATAAGACATCGATCTTTCATTAATCTTGTGTCATATTTTCCTGGCAGTACAGTGTTTATAAAATCATTGGATGTTTCCCGAGAAAGAAAAAATGGGATTTATCTGAAAGAAATTATTGTTTTTGTGATTGAATCAATTGAATAAGAACACGTTGTGCAATTCATAATTGATACTGGTAGCAATTTCACATATGCTAGTGACATGCTCATTGGATTGTATCCTCGAATGTATAAGATGAGGTGTGTTGCTCATGGAATTCAACTTTTTCTGAAAGACATATATAATGAAGTTAATTGGGTAAAAGTTGCCACAGATGAAGCAAAAATAATAGTTATGTTCATGACACGGTACGCAGTTCTTCATGCAGCAATAAAAGAGTACACCCAGAGATAGACAATTGAGACAAACTTGTGCCACAAGATTTGCTTCAAACTTTTTAATGCTTCAATCTGTGTTGGTTTTGGAGACTGCACTTTGACTCTTTGTTGCTTCATCTAAATGGAGGGGTTTTGATTATTGTAAGATCGAATTAGGTAAAAGGGTCACTAAAATTGTTCGAAGTGATTTTTGGGCTAGAGGAAGGGAGGTTATAAAAACTATTGAGCCATTGGTTCGAGTTCTTCGTTTGGTTGATGGTGATGGATCTACTGTTGGTTACTTATATGAAGCAATGATGAGAGCAAAAGTTGTAATCAAGAAAAGATATAATAGTGAGGAAACCAAGTATGAGAGAATTTGGGAATTGTTTGAGAATCGTTGGGTTAACAACATCATTCATCCAATACATGTTGCAGCTGCCTTTCTCAATCCATCTTACTTTTTCTGAAAAAAAAATTTAGAGAGGAAAGGGAGATGAAAGATGACCTCAATTTCATTCACAAAAACCTACTTCTGGTAGAAGAAAAGAATTTATTTATGAGAGAGATTCAATTGTATCGTAGTAGGCTAGCTATCTTATTTACCGCAATGGCAAAAACGATGTTACAAACAAGTCATCCTCATAAGTTTTTTAAAAATTTTGTATATCTTTTTTGTACATTGCTTCTCTCTTTGTATTTAAGAAAGCTTTTTATGTCATTTACAGGAATATGGTGGGGTTACAATGGGGATGATCTTCCTGTGCTCAAGAAGTGTGCCATTCGAATTTTGAGTCAACCTTGTGGCGCTTCATCATATGAGAGAAATTAGAGTGTCTTTGAAGCTGCTCAAACAAAACAAAACAAAAAGGAATAGGTTGTCACACGAAATGCTAGACACGCTTGTGTATGTGAGGATGCACAAGCTGATGATAGATAAGTTCACTTCCACGATGAGTTGGGACTTGGAACATGAAGAAATTCATATGGACAAAGATGCTAATTCTACACCAACGATTGAGGGTTACATGGATGACTTGATGGATAATGATAACATTTCTTGGTTGGATGATGTTCTTTTTTGAGTTGTTATTGTTTGTTTATGTACTTTGTGAGTTTCTATTATACATTATATATAATTTGAATCTTGGTTGTGTAATTTGTTTATTTTATTTTATTTTATTTTTTGTTTGAAGCTCTAGTTCGACTTTGAATTTTGGTTTTGTTATGTGTTTAGCTTGAGACTATAATTGAATCTTGGCTATACATTGTGTTTGAGTATGGAGACTATATATAATTTGAATTTTGGCTATTAGGTCTAATGATTATTGGTTGATTGAATACTTTACATTTGAAATGCTATATTGATTTACCGGGTCGTCTATGAAAAGTGCTAAAACCAAGATTGATATTGTCGTATTTTTCAAAACGTATTATTGATAATGTGCATATTAAACCCGTATATACTCATACTGTATTTTTCCTGTATCCAAATTTTATGGCTGAATTTTTACAAACATATTTTTCACTATTTGTTGTATCATACCCGTAGAATTTTCGCATCGAAAATGTGTACCGGCCTACGTGTCTCCTAACTCACACCAGCAATCTAGACGCATTATTAAATATTTTTCTAGTGAACGGTCGTCCATCAAATATGGACGGCCATTCACTTACATGGACTTCCGTCCATATTATATGGACGGGGGTCTATTTACTACGGACGAGATCCCCATTTAAAGGACGCCCGTCCATAAGTAAAATAGAATAAAATATTTTTATAAAAATTAGGGACAGCCGTTCATAGGTTATGGACAGTTGTCCCTAAATATTGGATGGGCGTTCATATTTTAATGGACGCCCGTCCATTAACAATTCTTTTTAAAAAATTAAAAAAACATTTAAGGACAACCGTTCATCCTTTATGAACGACCATTCATCCTTTATGGACGACCGTCCATTAATTTTGAACGGGTGCCCGCAAATAAGGGACGCCCGTCCTTAACCAAAATATGAAAATAAAAAAAATAAGAACTTTGGGGATGCTCGTCTACAAATTGTGGACGAGCGTCCCTTACGTTTGGATGGGTGTCCGTAAGGAATGGACACCCGTCCATTATTTTGGTTTTACAAAACAAAAGAAAAACTCCAACGCGCCAATTCCTTTGCTTTCTCTCTGTAAATTATTTCCTTCTTCTTCAACTATCACCAACTTCAACGCCTCCGTCACCGACTTCCATGTATATGCTCAATCTTCCTCACTTCTCGCTATCTCTATCCCCGCCTTCTTCTTGGCAAACACTCTAGCAATCAACCCTTGGTCCATGGAGAAAGGTAGCAAAACCAATGGATGTCCAAAGTAAAGTGACTCTGTAATTGAACTAAATCCACAGTGAGTCAAGAATGCTCCCACCAATTCATGAGCTAATATCCATTGAGTTGAATTATCTGGGCGACAGATGAGATCCAGATCATGCTTCTGCAGAAACTCTATAACTTTGTCAGCACCGAAAATAACCGAAATATTCCTGGTTCTATTTTCTCCCCAACCTTGAATACCTTCACTGGGTTCATCAACGGGGCGTTGTATTTTTCTGATTTGATCCAAATTTTTTAGCTTTGGAGAAATGCCACCGTGCACGTAGAAAATCTTTTCACCGACTATGGTTACTACTGGTAGACAATTAAAACATTCTATGAATGTGTACCATAGCTTAACATTGAATCTTTTCTTGCACTCTTCGTAAAAGCCATAGTTGATATTTGTAGATGCACATTCGTGGTTTCCTCTCAAGAGGAAAATTTTTTCAGGATATTTTATCTTGTAGGCAAGAAGAAGACACATTGTCTCGATTCCTTGCTCGCCACGGTCCACATAATCGCCCAGAAATAAGTAGTTAGCTATTGGAAGATAACCACCATTCTCAAAAACCCTTAAGAGATCAGAAAATTGACCATGGATGTCACCTGAATTTCATAAAGAAGTTATCATCATCAAGAATCAGGACAAATATCGACATGAGCAACCAATTCAACTTTGTGGATGGTTTGAATTGGAAGCAAGTTGAATTTGAGTCAAAATGAGTTGACTGAGTTGGCTTTGGGGCTCGAGTTATCTGGATTACCTTTCTTTTGGGCGTTGAGAAATCGGGATGAAACGATAGTTCTTCCAGATGGGTTCGAGGAAAGAGTGAAGGGAAGAGGAGTGGTCTGGACGAGTTGGGCACCTTAGCTCAAGATATTAGCTCATGAATTGGTGGGAGCATTCTTGACTCACTGTGGATTTAGTTCAATTACAGAGTCACCTTACTTTGGACATCCATTGGTTTTGCTACCTTTCTCCATGGACCAAGGGTTGATTGCTAGAGTGTTTGCCAAGAAGAAGGCAGGGATAGAGATAGCGAGAAATGAGGAAGATGGAGCATATACATGGAAGTCAGTGGCGGAGGCATTGAAGTTGGTGATAGTTGAAGAAGAAGGAAAGAATTTATAGAGAGAAAGCAAAGGAATTGGCGCGTTGAAGTTTTTCTTTTGTTTTGTAAAACCAAAATAATGGACGGGCATCCATTTCTTACGGACGCCTGTCCAAATGTAAGGGACGTCCGTCCACAATTTGTGGACGGCGTCCCCAAAGTTTTTTTTTTTTTTTCTTGGTTAAGGACGGGCGTCCATTATTTGCGGGCGCCTGTCCAAAATTAATGGACGGCCGTCCATAAAGGATGAACGACAGTCCATAAATTTTTTTAAATTTTTTTAAAAAATTATTAATGTACAGGCGTCCTGTCCAATATTTAGGGACAGTAGTCCATAACCTATGAACGATCGTCCCTAATTTTTATAAAAATATTTTATTCTATTTTACTTATGGACGGGAATCTATTAATGGGGACGCCTGTCCGTAGTAAATGGACCCCAGTCCATATAATATGGATGGGAGTCTATGTAAGTGAACGTCCATCAATATTTGATGGACGGCCGTTTACTAGAAAAATATTTAATAACGCGTCTGAATTTCTGGTATAAGTCAGGAGACACATAGGCCGGTACACATTTTCGGTCCAAAAATGCTGGTGTCCGTAGCTTTATTGGTCGCATTTAATATTTGAAAAACCCGATTTCGTCTTGACAGTTGCATTTGAATTCTGAAAAATCATGCTTTTGTCCTGGTAGTAACCTTTGTTATATTATTATGTATATATATATATATACACACACACACACACACAACAATGGACAGTGTTAACAAGGAAATGCTAACCGTGAATGGTCTTGGTGAACAAATCAACGCCTGGTATGTGCAAATCAATGTGTTTAATCGGCAAATCGATGCTTCGAACCAGGAAATCAACTCCTTGACTTTGCACGAACATCAAGCATAGGATTGAGTTAGTAACTGCTTAACGACCCTGCAACAATACTTTAGTTTTGGCCGAGACTTTCGCTATGCAATACTATTTTCTTTTTAACTTTTTAAAAATTTTGTGGTATTTCTTATTTTTGTGTTTCTAACTATTTTTTTTTTATCGCAGTTGGGGAGGCAACTCCTTCATGTGGCTTCCAACCAAAACCAATGTATCAAGGATGTCGCAACTCAGAGCAACGACTTGTGGTTAAAAGGTGATTAAATCAACTTGAACGTTTGATTAGTAGGCAAGGAACTGACAGGTGACAACGTGGTCGACATGGCCGGGGGCATCGGGAGAGGAGGACCTAGCAGTGGAAGAGAAAGGAATTGGTGGCGATTTAGTTTGGTAATAATCTAGGCTTCGTTTGGTTGGATTTTGCGAATACTACTTTTAGTATTCCCAAAAAGGTTAAACAGTAAAATACCTAAAAACTCACAATATTATTCAACTTTATTCAATATTTTTTAAACCCCCTAAATTTGTTAATTCAATTAAATACCCCTAAATATTTTTAATGTTTTTGTTACTGTTACTCCGGCCACCCTCCGTTGGTGGTGGCCGGCTGTCCGTATTTGAGGGTGGATTGGGGGTGTTTTTGTTAACTTTTAATGTTTTATTATACGGGGTGTTTTGTAAAAAAACAAACATATGGGGTATTTTATTAATTTATAAATCCTACATCGTAATACCCGCCCAATTCAATTTTTTTTTAACTTTTTTCAAAAAACTTTTCCCAAAAACACAAAATTGTGAACCAAACGGAGCCCTAGTATTTGATTTCTTAAAGACCCTGCCCGCTTTGGTATACATATGTAAATATGTATATGTACGTATATGTATATAAATATCGTATGTATACACATATTTAAACATATATAGACTAATGATTAATTTGGGTAACTATTGCTGGTTTTTTGACTTCATAGCCTTTCCCATCCGTCACTAAGTAAACTCTGCATTCTGAACTCAAATGCAGAGTAAAATATGAGACCTGGAAGGGAGGAGCCTGATTTCCAGTTGCTGAAAATAACTCACAACGTAAACATTCATAATGTTGAACAATTTGCTAATAGATTATGCGTTAATGTTGAATGAATGCATACAAAAGTAAACTCAATAAAGTAGTTTTTACCTAGGAAATTATGTTTATAATATTATATCAAACTTCAAACGTAAAAATAAAAAATAAAAAAATTCCAACTGTTAACAAATTAGTAGGAGCTTTTGTAATACAATATTTCTTGTATTTTGAGTTCCATCTGAAACTGTCGAAATGGGCTTTTTTCTTAAGGATTTGTCTCAGATATCGTTTGATTAAATTTATGAAAAAAAAAAATGATACTTGAGAGACAATGATTATGAAAGGGTTGAAAATGTTAAATTTTTAGAGTTTGTGGAGAACGTCAATGGATCTTGCTTACATAGTCTGGCGATGCCCGTGTCTGTTTCATGCTTTTACCAGTACATTGTCTGCATTAATGTGAAGGTGGGAGGAATTAACAAAGGAAGAAGAGATGGGATAATTTTTTTTTTTTTTTTTTTTTTTTTNTGATTAATCTAGGCATATATATATATAACGTTAGATGTAGTTTAAATCATACTAAACTTAGAAATAATTGTTGTGTTAGAATTTGATTTAGATTTTAGAGTCGAACTACAATGACTCCAATATATGTATATATATAACATTAGACGTAGTTTAAATCATACTAAACTTAGAAATAATTATTGTGTTAGAATTTGATTTAGATTTTAGAGTCAAACTACAATGACTCCAAAACATTATGAGATAATTAAGAATATTATTTTATTTTTTGGTTTATGTATAGTATTTAGTATTTACTTGAAAGAGTAATACTACAAACTGATACGATACACATGTTTGACTTTGACATGTAATATTTTTATTTAATACTTTATCTTCCATTTAAAGTTATTCGATTAATCTTAAAACACATCAAATTGTACAATAAAATTTATACATGAAGTATTATTGTAATAAAGTTTGTCCTTTCCTTAAAACACAGTTTTATTGATTTTATAATAGATAATGCTACATATATAAATTATTTCTTACAAACTAATGTAACAGCTTTACATATTTGACATATTATTTACTCTAATTTATTTAAATTTTCTCTAATTTAAAATCATCCATTCACATTAAAACATATTATTCATATTAATGATCAATAAATATAATTAGTCTGAATTGAATTTGAGAATGTGGAATTCTTCTTGGATTTATGAAGATGGGCTTTGACTAGAAATTGTCCAGCCCAAACGATTTCAAATAAAGTATGAACTTTGCTTTGGACTTTCCAATGCCACGGCCGGATAAAAGTTGTACTTCCAGGTGTACTTATAGTGGATCTATTGATACTTTACCTATTGAATTAAAAAGTTTTATTTTTAATAAATTTTATAATGAGAAATTTATCTTTATATTAAATTATAAGATTAATTTTAATTTTTTATTCTTTACAAATGCTTTTGATATCCCACTATTATCTCACAAACACTAATTGTTTTTAGATATTTAAATCTTTTTTAGAACAAAAATGATAGTTTTATGGATGAAGAAGATTTGTAATATAAAATTGTAAGTTTTTAATTGCTTTATATATATAAATTTATTGTTATTTTTTTCTTCAAAGTATTGGTAACTATTTTATTATGTTCTTGGGATTATTTGTAAATATTTTTTTTTTTTAGGTTTTAATCTTTTTTTATTTTAGGAATAATGATGATGGGGTATTTAACATAAGTGCAGTGCCAAGTGCCAACAACTCCACTCATAAACCAAAATTACTATCCAAATCATAAAAAAAAAAAAAAAAAATGTTCATAATTTATTATCATATTTTTTTATAAGTAACCAATAAATAATATATAAAAATTAATCCAGTCAGAGAGGCAAAAAATTATTAACAAATGAAGTTAATAAATAATAATAGAACGTGATTCACAAGCCAGAAGTGAATGGCACACCCGTAGCCGGCAACCATGAGCGGCCAGCAATAAGACTTCCAACAGTGAAACGCGACGCCGTAGCAGAGCTAGTCATAACATGAAAACCTTTCCACTTCACCCTTGATCTAGTAGACGAACCAGGCCCCGAATTCTTATATTCACCATAATACAATGTGTCAAGAGCAAACTTACTGTTCAGCGCCCATGGAGACCATCCAAGTGGACTAACAAGACTATCGAGATAAGTTTTAACAATAACCGTTCTTGAGTATTGCTGCCATGGCCTCCCTAAGTAGGTTTTAAATGCTTTAACCACTGGCTTTAGATCAGATGCGGCTAAAATTTTTGAATTATGGATTGTAATCGCCGTGTTTTGATAAGGGTCATTGCGGCCTTGTGCGGTGATCACATTTGCTTGTCCTTTGAGAGGCCTTCTCACATAAATCAAAGAGTTCTGGAAGACCACTGCTGCATTGCCGAAAATGAAGTCAATTGTGCCATAGATGTAGCATTCTCTGTAGAATTGGCGTTGCGAGTGGACCATTAAGGTGTCCTGGTATCCCTGGATGGCACAACGATAGAAGACTGAGAGATCGGAGGCTGAACGTAGCGCCACCGCTTGGCCCTTAGAGGGTCCGGCTCCATTTCGGAAGGTAATTTCCCAAGCAATGAACCCAGGTCCATCAATGCCTGCAAGTCATTATTTTCAATATATCCAAAAATCTAAATAAAAAATTAACAGAAATTCACAGCACGTAAAAGAAATTCAGTTACCAGCAGTTGCAGAACTGTACGTGGTGTAACCTCCTTTAACACTGCGGCTGCTGGTGATTATAGTATACTTCATGCCATCGCCGATCAACATAATGTTATTGTTATTGAGGCCAACCTCAATATTTTCGTTATAAACACCTTTCTTTACATATATAATAAACCTTGCAGTCCCTTTCCTCTTTGCAGCAGCGTTAATGGCAGCTTGAATTGTCTTATAATTCCCGGAGCCATCTTTTGCTACCACAAGATTTGCTTTTGCTTTAAAAGTTAATGATGAACTCTGCAATAATTTCCTTTCTTGCCGCGTAAGCCAACTGGGAAACCATCCTGTATATGATGTATTTTCTTGCTTTACGAATACTCCATTGATGGCCAAACTATTGCTTAATAGCTGGGTTAAATTATTGGACATTATGATTGGATTAATGAAATCGGAAACATTCAAATCCATGGACCCGGATCCACATGTTTGGATGTTGGTTAATGCTGCGCTAAGCCACGTTTGTGCATCGAAATCAGTACAACTCTTGTTGGCTCCAATGCCTTGTAAGGTACGGTTTAGTTGAAGAACTGTATTATCATATAGTTTTAGACAATCGGACCATGCGGCTTTCCGATGCTCAGTCTCGCAACTTGACCTGAATTTCAAGGCATGCTTTTTCGCATTGAGGGCTCGTTCCATGGCCAATTGGACTACCATTTGCCGAAACTCGGACTTGTGTTTCGGCGCAAAATGTTGGTGGCTTCGCCTCATGTAGTAAACGCATGGTTCAGGATGTGGCGTTTTGCTGCACCACCAGGTTATGTTTGATGAAGATTTTCTCGATAGTGCAGGATGAAAGATTGAATAGAAGGATATGAACAGAAGTATTAGCCTCATCACCCCGGCCATTTTCTTTTTTTCTGTGCTTTGGAGTTCGGGACTTTGAGGATCATTTCTTACTAAGAGATTCCTTTATGTAGGAAAGTGAGAAATGAAGACTGAACGTGATATATAAATGCAATTGCAAGGCAAAGAGAATTTAATAAATTTATATTCCATGTTGTAATCTTTCCTTCTTTACGTAAAATTTAATTTCATAATACATAGGCTTCGTTCAAGGAAAGCGAGAGAGAGAAAAAGGGGTGTATGATATTATGAATTCGAAGAAAATACTTACCACAATAATGTATATTTGAAGTAAAATATGATCATATATAAACCCTTTTCCCAAGAATTAAATTATATAATTAGGTGGGTCAAAATTGGAAGGAAAAATCTAATGATTTAATTGATTGAGGGATAGAAAAAATCTGGCTAAATTTGCAAAGTTGCTTAAAGATGTGGGCACTTATAAATTATAAGCCAATTAGCAAATGGGGTTGAGTGGACTTAATATAAAAATCAATCAGCACGTTCTAGTCACATGAAACCGTGTAAGAAAGAAGTAACAGTCGCTTGAAAGTCTAACACTCAAATCTCCAAACAAGAATCCATGTGATTTATAGTTTGCATTATACGTTTAATTTATCATCTCTTCAGTGTTCAATAATGAAATTTCACAGAAAAAGAAGAAGCTGCCGATTTCAATTAGTTGGGTTCTGTTCAAATCTTGGCAGAAAAAAGATTTCATATACGTTGAAGGTATAATTTAATCTTTCCCAGGTTGACTTACTTCACTAACTTAAGATATAGAAAGATGTCAAAAAAGGTAATACTTTACCACTATCAAGTTGAAAACTATATAATAAGTAAAAATTGATAAAAAGATTCAAGATGATATAAATTAATTGGGCTCGGTTAATCTTTTCAGTCCTGTTTTGGGCTAATATTGCTTTCTGATAATTGGGTTGGGCTCAAGTTGACTAAATTAAACTGAGAATATATCTACTCAACAATATTTCAATTTTTAGTGTATTCATGATAATTGATAGCCATGGTAGATATCAGTCATCCAATAAAAACTATCACTTAGTGGCTTGATGATAGAAAAATAAAAAAAGATTTAATATGATCTTCTAAGTTCGAGTCCTGAGTTCAAGTCTTCACAGCTCCTAATAAGAGTGGCTACTGAAACTCCTAATCAACCAGTAGTTCCAAAGTCTTAAAGGATTAATTAAGGTACACGCAAACTGGTCCAAACACCCTTAAATCATCGAATAAATGGATAATTAATTCAAAAATCGGTTCATTTGTTTGGACAACATATCTTACTTACATAATCTCATCATTTAGCTGTATTGCTCTCTTTTATTTTATTTTCTTTTTTCCTTATCCCGTAGCTTGCTCATTTTTACAAATATATAATGGATTTTGATATACATTAATTATTGATATATATTTGCATATAGATTAGATTTTATATATATGATCCCAATTAATTTGCTATAATAATTATATCATTACAAAAGGCACAGATAGAAAATTTAATTAGATTTGCATATCCAATCAGTTTAGCATTTGATTGTTTATAAAACTGGTCATCTTATATGAAAAATATACTAAAAAAATTGAGGCCATACGTTCTTTAGGTGAACAAACACTTGGAAACTGGTAACTGCTTCTTCCTCATCAACTCATTTTGCACATGTCACACGTTAATAAAATGGCAATTCATTCAGTTCTCTTAAGTATGAAACTTTAAACTCGTGTTCTTGTTCTTGTGAATAGTTGTGATAAAGCAGTTACCAGTTAACGACTCCTTATCCAGATTGATTATTAATGAGCAACGGTAAACGATTGCTTGAAATTTTCGAAAAGGAAATAATGTTGCTTAGTTAATGACTTTTTCCCACTCTAATAATGACTTAATAACACTTTTTTACCTACAATACTTTTAAAATACTATTTTATTATCCAAATTTATATTCTAAAGGCAAATAAAGAGCAAACTCAGTCCAGACTGTTGGAGCTTTTGAAGAAGGAAAGCCAATGAGTCTTTTAGTGGTAGAAAGTTGAATTTTGGTAGTTGCGATTGATTGGAATTTGACTTGGGAGGGGCAGTTGTTGAGCAAACCCTAATCGCTCAATTGTCGGCGATTGATGAGGTCGACAGGAGTAGGGTTTGAGGGGTTTTTGTGAGTGATGATCGGGGAAGAGAATGGTGGTGGTGTGGGGTCGCAACGATGCTGGAATCGGAAACGGAATATAAATTTGGATAATAAAATAGTATTTTTAAAGTTTGTGGGTAGAAAAATGTTATTAAGTCATCATTTGGGTGGGAAAAAGTTCGTTTACTCTAATGTCGCTTCTGGTAAAGAGCAAAGATATGCTGCTAGCAAATCCACTGCTCCTGTGCAACTTTAGTTCCATTAGATATCTTGAATCCCCAAATACCCACTTAAAGTTACGTAAAAAGTTGATTAATTAAGTAATTAATTTGGCAGTTGGCCACTTTACTCATAGTTTCTTTGGCTATAATCTCTTGAAATTCTATCACATCTTTGAAACTGGATACAAGTCATCGATTACGTTCTGGTGTTTGTAAATTTATGCGAATTTGAACAAGTTTTAGTTGTTTTCATTACTCGTGGAGGGATATTAATGTATTTTTCAATCAGTTAAAGGAAGGATAATTGGAGAAGAAATTAATGTAACTTACACGAAACCTCTTCAGGCTGCGGAAGTGGTTGATTCTATTAGTCTCTATCATCATTTATAGTGTAAATATATAAAGAAGGAAGTGGTTGATTCTATTAGTCTCTATCATCATTTATAGTGTAAATATATAAAGAGAAGAGGAGGAACTAAGCTTCTGCACAAAGCTATCATGTGTACTTTCATTATTCTTTGAGTGATATTGCTGTGTACACGCATTAAGTGAATTACTTACTTATTAGGGAAAGATTCAGCTGATCAGGGAAAGAGAGATTGAGAGACAATGAAGCTAATTATTCAAAGCGTGTTAGTGTCGGTGTTGGTAATGGTGGGGAGTGTACGGTCACATGATTATGGAGATGCATTAACGAAAAGCATTTTGTTTTTTGAAGGGCAGAGGTCGGGGAAAATACCCGCTAACCAAAGGATGACTTGGAGGAAGGATTCTGCACTTAAGGATGGCATTGAAATTGGTGTAAGTCCTTTACATTTCTCCCCACTGTTCATTTTTTCTCCTCCTGCAAACTTGCACAAACTCCCCTTTTCTCTTTTAGATCAACAATTTGTTTTAATCCCCGCATGTTAGATTTGTATACAATCATAAATAATAATTTGTCAAATTAAGCTTGCTTGCTTTCCAATTAATAACTTTTTTGGTAAAATGTGGTTAAGTTTATAGATAAAAACTACCTCTTACGAAGACAAGTATATTAGAAACAATTAGAAATTTGTTATGACAAATCAATAAAAATTGATCGACAAATCTTTCTCATAAATGTGACGTGATAGTTTATAATTGGTCAGATGAGACTCATTATTAGACAAATGAGACTGATTATAAACTGTTATGTTACGTTAAGTTTTGTGAAAAAAAGTTAATAAAAAATGTTTATGAACATAGTATTATTCATGACAAAAATGTGAAAGCAGTTATCCGTAAAGCATTTTCTTGCAAACAGGAGTGCTTCTCACAAAAAAACAAAAAAAAAAAAAAAAAACATATTAACCTCGTTTTCAAGGAGCTTACAGCTGGAAGTGTACAAAATAGCAGAAGCTGAAAAAGGGACTTTTTTGCCTGTGAATTTATCATGTATGGTTAATAAAGTATAGTTCTTCGTGGTTCTAACTTAAGTTGACTTGGGTGCGTTGGGTATGGCAGTTACAAGATTTTTGTGTCTTGTTTGTTCCTGAAGGTTCCGTACAGTTTAGAACTTAATTGTTATATTGGCATTAACATTAAAATTCATCACAATTTGTCCTCAGGTTGATTTAACGGGTGGTTATTACGATGCTGGTGACAATGTTAAATTTAGCTTTCCGATGTCCTTTTCAATAACGATGCTGGCATGGAGCGTAATAGAGTTTGGCGACTCCATGGGATTAGACCAGCAATATGCATTGGATGCCATTCGATGGGGAACTGATTACTTAATGAAAGCAACCAGTATTCCTAACTTTATATTCGTTCAAGTTGGTGAACCTTATAATGACCACAACTGCTGGGAGAGACCTGATGATATGGACACACCTAGAACCCCTTATGCTATTAGTAAAGAGTTTCCAGGTTCAGAAGTTGCTGCTGAGATAGCAGCTGCACTTGCATCCTCTTCCATAGTCTTTAGACACACTAATTATAGTTATTCTCAGGACCTTATCAGAAGGGCGACAAAGGTAGAATGAAATTTATTCATTCATTATTTGCGAACAAGTTTTCTCGGTAAGAATTATAGTTGATTATTTTCTTTTCCCTGGCATAGGTTTTCTATTTCGCAGATAAGTACCGTGGATTTTACAATGATACTCTTTATCCCTGGGTCTGCCCCTTCTATTGCGACTTCAGTGGCTATCAGGTAAACACGTTTAAATCCTGTAGAAAATTTTGCGTTGTTGCACATCTAATTAGAAATTTAGATTCGGAGTCTAAACGTTCAAATGATATTTTCTTATAGGATGAATTGCTCTGGGGAGCGGCATGGTTATATAGGGCAACTTTGATACCTGATTACTGGAACTATGTCGTGAAGAACGCATACAATCTGGGAAACTATAATGAATTTGGATGGGATAACAAGAATGCTGGCATTAATGTGCTTGTTACCAGAGTCCGTATCCGAGCTTTGGATATCTATTTATATACTTTTCGGCTTTCGCTTAAATTAATTTTTTTTCCTGTTGTTGATTTGGCAGCTTAATACCTCTAATTCCGGTCTCTTCATTGGAAATGCGAACAAGTTTGCATGTTCTCTGTTGCCTGAATCACCTACAAAGGCAGTAGATTATTCACCAGGTAATTATTATAACAACAATTCTAGAGTTTTTAATAAGCATAAGTTAACTTGAATTTCTAACTTAATTCTTGTTCTTATATCAAAACAGGTGGACTTATGTTCAAAGATGGAGGAAGCAATTTACAACATGCCACATCTTTATCCTTTCTGGCTCTCGTTTACAGTCGCTATTTAGAAGAATCAAATAACAGAGTGGTTGCTTGTGGTGGTGGCGTTATGGCCGACAAGCATAGGTTCAGACAACTAGCAAAAGGCCAGGTATACATAAATCTCCATTAAATGGATATGATTCTATTTGTTCAACATGATTTATAAGAGTTTGTGTTCAAATATTTGATTTTGCAGGTGGATTATATACTTGGAAGCAACCCATTGAACCTGTCATACATGGTTGGATATTCGGGTTATTTTCCTCAGAGAATTCATCATCGGGGTTCAACTTTACCTTCCATTGATCAACATCCGGGTTTTATCGATTGCAATGGTGGTAAATTATACGCTAACAGCAACAATCCTAATGCCAACGTGTTAACTGGGGCCGTTGTTGGAGGACCTTTTATGAATGATACATATCCTGATGATCGAGTTAATTTTCGGCAATCAGAGCCTACCACATACATTAATGCACCTTTTGTTGGCGTTTTGGCTTTCTTTAAATCACATCCATCCTGTTAGAATAGAAGCTTTAGCAAATTGATTTAGCTCCATTGGAACTGTAAAGTTTAGCACTAGTTTTAGTTACATCGTATGAATAATTAAATTTATTAGTTACTCTCATTCTGTAATTGTATGATGCCCTTCTCTGCATGCATATTTGATTATGATAATCACATGAACTTCGTTCAATATTCGGTTGAACCCAGATGAACCATTTAAACGAAATCCAATTAATACATTAATTAGCAAAAAATTAACTGAAATTGATTATTATTTTACCCATTTCATTCCAATCTAAATTTATAGGTAAAATTATCGAAGTCATCAAAACTTAGATGTTGTCCTAACTCCTTGTCTAAGAGTTAATGACTTTTTTCCCACCTAAATAATGACTTAATGATACCTTTTCACCCACAGACTTTTAAAATATTACTTTACTATCCAAGTTTATATTCTGACGATGAACAGAGAGCAAAGTTAATTTAGGCTGTTAGGGCTTTTGAAGAAGGGATGTCAATGAGTCTTTTGGTGGTAAAATGTTGGATTTTTGCAGTTGGGATGGATCGAAATTTGACTTGAAAGGGACGGTCGCACAAGCCCTAATCGCTCGATTGTCGGCGATTGGCGGGGTTGACGAGAGTAGAGTTTGAAGGGTTTTGGTGAGTGATGACTAGGGAGGAGAATGATGGTGGTGTGGGGTCGCAACATTGCCGGAATTAGAAACGGAATATAAATTTGAGTAATAAAATGATATTTTAAAAGTTTGTGGATGGAAAAATGTCATTAAGCCATTCTTTGGGTGAAAAAAAATTGTTTACTCCTTATCTAATTATGAATCTAAGTTGTAACATTAATCCAATAGGGAAAAGACACGTACATATAGTAGCCGTTTGGGTGGGGTTAATATTAGATAATTAGAGTAATATTTTTTAAATTGAGTAGATGATGATGTTTGGTTGGTTTGTAAAAAATCATTCTCGGAATATTTTATGACAAATAGTAGCATCTGGGGGGTATATTGTCGGGAATCTTAATACTTGGGGGGAGGAGGGGGTGAGTTGTTATTAAAACTTACCCTGGTAATATAATTTTGTTTCCCATGTTGCCCCTAAACAGTTGAGCATTTGGTTCAAATTAACCTTATATTTGTTAATATTTACAAAACACCTAATTCACTCATGTAGACACTTTTGACCTCGCTTTTTAATTTTTTTGGACGACATTGCCCTTGTTATTGTCATTATTTACAGAAATGACATTATACCCAGAACTAGCCACCATCAATCACCATAGGAGCCTGCTTAAAGTCACCATAATGGCATACGACCGGCCATATATGGCCGACCGTGCGCCGGTGAGGCTTTTTCCGACCATGGTCGAAAAATGCCAGATCTAGCTGTTTCACGACCAAAGATGTGGCCATGAATGGCCACTGATTGGGTCATGAAACAGTTGGCGTTTCAAGGCCAAAGACCTGACCATTTCACGACCAGATTTGTGGCCGTTTCACGACCACATCTTTGGCCGTGCAACGGCCAGATCTGTGGCACTACCGACATCACAGTCAGATATGTAGCATTGCCAACGGCCACCAGCAGTGGTAGCTGGTTGTCGGCAATGACTTGGGGTGGGTAGGAGTGTTTTTTTTAAGTTTAAAATGTTTTTGGTTGCCAGGGTGTTTTTGCTAAATCTGCAAAGTATTGGGTTAAAAGAAATTATTCAAAAAAAAATAATAAAAAATACTGTTATATTAATATTTAAAAATGAGGGCAATTTAGTAATCTATATAACATACCCACCCATTTGTCCTCCCAACCAAATATATTATTCATCAATTTAATCGAATCAACCAAACACATATTATAAAAATTCTCAATAATCTTCAAGGTGATGTTTTATTCCGTTAATATAATATTTCCCTATAATAAAATATTATATGATCCAAACGCCCTCATAGAGTAAGATATTTATTTATGTATTACCATGATTCCCTTCTCATTCCTAGATTTACCACTTAATTTCTTAATAAATTTTCTTGATATATATCTTTAAGTTTTCTCAATTTTTACTGGATATGCAAAGTTATCTTCCTTTTGTGTAATTTTGCTGGTTCTTACATGTGGCACTTTCTATATGAATGGTCAATTTGCTCTATGCCTTAATGAGGTTGCCCAAAATGAGCAGTGCACCATTTAACCTTGCGCTGGACTGTGCTGTTATGTAATTTATTTAAATACCAACATAAATGTCAATGAAATAAATAAAATATTAAGAGAATTTCAAGCTGACAATGTATTATCTATTCTTGACCCTTTTTATAGACTTCAAATGAGTGCCTGTTAATTAACATAAAAAAAAGTTACAAGTAGAGGAAGAAGGTGAGGTAAAGAGAGCAGAAAGAAAGAAACAATGGGTGTAAAGTTTATATCCCTGAAAGTGTTGGTAGGGATGATAATGGTGATGAAGGTGGCATCACATAATTATGGAGATGCATTTTCCAAGTGTATTTTGTTCTTTGAAGGTCAGAGGTCAGGGAAGTTACCCTCTACACAAAGGATGGCTTGGAGAGCTCATTCTGCTCTTCGTGATGACTCTGACGTTAGTGTAGACACTTTTGTTCTTGTTTTTTAAAATTTTTGGATGACATTACCCTTGTTATTGTCATTATTTACAGAAATGACATTATACCCAGAACTAACCACCACCGCCAGCCACCGTCGATTACTGATTGTGTGCTAGTGAGGCTTTTTCCAACCATGGTCGAAAAATGCTAGATCTAGCGGTTTCATGGGCAGATCTATGGCCGTTCATGGCCAAAGATGTGGCCATGAACGGCCACTGATCTGGCCGTGAAATGGTTGACATTTCACGGCCAGATTTGTGGCCGTTTCACAGCCACATCTTTGGCCATGAAACGACCAAATTTGTGGCACTACTGACGTCACAATCAGATATGTGGCATTGCCAATGGCCACCAGCAGTGGTAGCTGGCTATCGACAGTGACTTGGGGTGAGTAGGGGTGTTTTTGTTAAGTTTAAAACGTTTTTGGTTGTTATGGTGTTTTTGCCAAATCTGAAAAGTAGTGGGTTAAAAAATTATTGAAATAATAATAATAAAAAATACTGTTATATTAATATTTAAAAATGAGAGCAATTTAGTAATCTATATAGCATATCCACCCATTTATCCTCCCAACCAAACATATTATTCACCAATTTATTCGAGTCAACCAAACACATTTTTTAAACATTCCCAGTAATCTTCAAGGTGATTTTTTATTCCATTAATATAATATCTTCCTATAATAAAACATTATATGATCCAAACGGCCCCATAAAGTAAGATATTTATTTCTATATTACCATGATTCCCTTCTCATTCCTAGATTTACCACTTACTTTCTTACTAAATTTTCTTGATATATATCTTTAAGTTTTCTCAATTTTTACTGGATATGCAAAGTTATTTTCCTTTTGTGTAATTTTGCTTGTTCTTACATGTGGCATTTTCCATATGAATGGTCAATTTGCTCTATGCCTTAATGAGGTTGCCCAAAATGAGCAGTGCACCATTTAACCTTGCGCTGGACTGTGCTGTTATGTAATTTATTTAAATACCAACATAAATGTCAATGAAATAAATAAAATATTAAGAGAATTTCAAGCTGACAATGTATTATCTATTCTTGACCCTTTTTACAGACTTCAAATGAGTGCGTGTTAATTAACATAAAAAAAAGTTACAAGTAGAGGAAGAAGGTGAGGTAAAGAGAGCAGAAAGAAAGAAACAATGGGTGTAAAGTTTATATCTCTGAAAGTGTTGGTAGGGATGATAATGGTGATGAAGGTGGCTTCACATAATTATGGAGATGCATTGTCCAAGTGTATTTTGTTCTTTGAAGGTCAGAGGTCTGGGAAGTTACTCCCTACACAAAGGATGACTTGGAGAGCTCATTCTGCTCTTCGTGATGGCTCTGACGTTGGTGTAAGTTTTTTATATTCACTCTTTCCATTGAGCTCAACATGATACTTTTTTTTTTTTTTTTCCTTTGTATTTGTATGAAAGAATTAAACGTGCTCAATGACTTAGTTTTTTTTAAGTATTGTTTTAAGACATTATAGATTATTTTACAATTAATTAATATATAATCCTATACTGTTGGTTTAACAGAGATGTTAACATCAATAGGAAAATAATAATAATTAATATTAAAAAAAAAAAAAACCAACTTAATGAATATGTATGATTTGAGTCCTTACAAATTCGAATTTGCATCTATAATTTGTAAGATCAAGGAAAGGAAAATTGTATTTTCTGGCGTTCATTTTCAGGTTGACTTGGTAGGTGGTTACTATGACGCTGGAGACAACATAAAATTCAGTTTTCCGATGGCTTTCACTACCACAATGCTGGCCTGGAGCATCTTAGAATTTGGTAATCTTATGGGCTCAGATAAACAATACGCATTAGAAGCTCTGAAATGGGGCACAGACTATTTCCTGAAGGCCACCAGTGTCCCCGGCAAAGTCGTTGCCCAAGTTGGTGATCCCAGTGGTGACCACAACTGTTGGGAGAGGCCTGAAGATATGGACACCCCCAGAACCTCCTATGTTGTTAATACAAGCAACCCCGGATCAGAAGTTTCTGCTGAGATTGCAGCTTCCCTTGCGGCCTCTTCCATGGTTTTCAAGTCCGTTGATCTTAGATACTCTAGAAGGCTTCTCCAGAGGGCCACCCAGGTAGTTCAGTTTAATTGACTTTTGTCAGGTACAATTTGGTTTTTCAAACTATTAAGCTCTTGTTGTTGTTCCTGGAGCTGCAGGTTTATGAATTTGCACAGAAGTATCAGGGCTCGTATAATTCCAGTGTTGGTGTAGGGGTCTGCCCTTATTACTGCGATTACGATGGCTACATGGTAAAGATTAGAGAGTTACAAACTTGTTCATCTACAATATTGAATTCATTTGAAAGAAATTTAATGCGATTCTGTCTTTCAGGATGAATTGATCTGGGGAGCAGCATGGTTATACAAAGCGACCGGGTCATATAATTACTGGAATTATGTTGTACAAAACAATCAACACCTGGATAATTATGAATTCGGATGGGATTCAAAGCACGCTGGAATCAACGTACTTGTTTCCGGGGTAGACCATTTCACCTGTTCTTATTCATTATAAAACACTCCTGGACACTCTAAATTTGTTTTCTAATTTTCTCAACAGTTGGTGTTGAGCACCCCCAAGGCCGATCCTTTTGTTTCCTATGCAGATAAGTTTGTTTGTTCTGTACTGCCCGAATCTCCCACCAAAACCGTCACATACTCTCCAGGTAATACTCTATAAAAGTGTTTGTTTCTGGTGTGATACTTCACAGGCTGTGATTTGATTTAAAATGAACTATATTTTAATAGATGAGTGTATCTGTTAGGTGGGCTACAATTCAAACCTGGAGGAAGCAACACTCAACATGTTACAGCCGCGTCTTTTCTTCTTCTGGTGTACTCCAGCTATTTGCAAATGGCCAAAAATAGAGTCGTTCAATGTGGCAACAATGCTGCCACTCCCCCCTCCAGGCTTGTTGATGTAGCAAAAAGTCAGGTTGATTATATATTAGGAAGCAATCCAATCAAGATGTCATACATGGTGGGATATGGGATAAATTTTCCTAGAAAAATACATCATCGTGGATCTAGCATGCCTTCCATTTATTCGCATCCAAAGCACATCACATGTCATGGTGGAACCTTATTCTTTGAAAGCAAATATCATAACTACAACATGCTTACTGGGGCTATTGTTGGAGGACCTGATGACAATGATCAGTACATAGACGATCGGACTAATCCTCCTCAATCAGAGCCAACTACTTATATAAATGCACCTTTTGTTGGCGTGTTGGCTTACTTCAAAAGATATACATCCTTGGAATCTCTTACATTTGATTCTAACTATACCCAGTATCATATGTAATATCCCGAACTTCTTGAAACGAAGTGAGGTTTCAAGACTGAACGAGTTTTAATTTTCAACTAAACCAGTTAGAACCCTGAACAAGCTAGGGACTTTAATTGCTTTCTGATAGTTTCTGTATCTGGGATGAATTTATGCAGCTATTGATCTTGAAAACACAGTTTGTTTTTCAATTCTATGTTGATTGATATGTTTTAGATATTACTTAAGAATAATGCTATGTACACTAACAAAAAATCATACAATCCAAGTACTAACTGATGTGGTAGACCTTCTTTATTGTCACGTCAGTTTTCACCAAAAACTAAAATAAAAAAATTTCAGATTTTCAACTGTTATACTTGAATTAGTAGTGCACATAGTATTACTCGTTACTTAGTGACCCAAAATTTACCCTCTTTTTAATTTATAATCCAACAAAATCATTTTAGTACATTGATTTAGGCTGCATTAATTGGTTTTAGTACAGTTGTATTTGAAACAATCCCCATTCCCCATACTGCAATAATTCAATTTAAAAAAAAAAAAAAAAAAAAAACCTTAATGGGCTAACATAAAATTATTTAAAATTTAAGGATTATTTGGAAACCAGCAGATCTTATACAAAACTCTAAAGAGGCCCAACATTCTTCGTCATTTTCCAAGTAAACTCAAACCACCAGAACTTTTGCAGAAAACAAGATGCAGCAGAGACACTCATCTGCATCAGGAAGGCCATCTGGAACGGACGGCTCTGATTTTTCCTATCGCATGGTCGTCGATTCCCGTAAGCTCCATCTCTTATGTTAATATCAATTCCCTAGTCTCAGTATATCTGTTTGATTTTATCCTTTGTTTAAATTTTAATTTTAGGGTACACAAGGGTTGCAAAAGGGAAGGCTCGTCTCTCTGCACTTATCTTCACTCAGGTACTCCCTTTTCAATAACTTGCAAAGTTTCCCTGATTTAATATTGGAAGTTGAGATTTTTAGTTCGAAATAAGATTCAGTCATCATAGTTGAGCCCCCAATTTGAATAGGGTCAATGTGGTACTTTTTGTTCTGGTTAAATTTGTTCTAGGATTTGTTGTTTAAAAATATTTAACTTTGTATGGTTTTTAGTTAAGATGGGTTTAAGCCAATGGTAATTGCATTAGGATCTGTAGATGTATCAACTGATTCAGATGGTTTGGTTTGTGCTGCAAGCCCAAAGATTTCACCGGCAATAGTGGTAGCTTAATCTTCTCCTTTTAAAGGAATGTGGTTTTTGATTTCCAAGAGCATCAGTTCCGTTCCTATAAATATGAATATTTCAGGCTCTAATGTGATTGACTACAGGATTTTAAGATAGGTTTTTCTTATTTGTTTGCAGGCGGTCATTCACTTGATAGGGTCAGTTTCCACATATCTATCTACAACAAAGGAGGAGGGTCCCAATAAACTTGCTGTTTCGTCTGCTTCACTTGGCTTAATATCTCTTATTTTAGGGGAATTAGGTTCCGACCAAATCCTTTGTTTCTCTTTAAGTTGCTTTGTTGTTGTGCACCCATTTAAATAAACCATCATCATGTGTTGTAGGTCGAAAGCGAAGCAAAATCAATTTTTTGAGAGTTTGTATGCTTGGATCATCTATTGCAATACTTCTCTCAATATTTTGTGTTGTCAAGGCTAATTCAATTTTAGAGGTCAGTTCATAATTTTTCCCTTTTTTATTCCTTTAAATTTCTGTAAAGTTTCTTCGTTTTCCAAGTGTTAATTATCTCTTTGACAGAATGGTCATAATCTTTTCAATTCCTCAAGGATTTTAATTTTTTCAAATTTTGCTTAGACTAAATGTTGAAAAGAAGAAATCTCCCACAGTGCTTAGAAACTTGTGATAATTTTTGTTTTGGATATATGATCGCACTCTTCAGTTCAGATGCCATCATGTAAACAGAGGAAGAATAGGTATAGGGTCTGCTAGACAAACATGTTTTTAATTTTACTGGTCCTAACTTTGATTATTTGTGAGTCATAAGGTTAACCCGTTTTGACTTCTAATGAGCAAAATTGTAGTCCTCATTAATTATATTGAATTGAATCCAATTCTACGAAACAGTGAATTTTGTATGCCTGATTAACTCGTATGATATACATTTAAGTATTTCAGTCCTTTTATCTGATCTGGAGTTCACTAAAATTGGCACTAGTGATGTTGTGTTATCAAACCAATAATTGGGGATTAACAATTTTTAAATCTTGAACAGATAAACAATTAGAGAATCTGTATGTATCTAATAATACATTTCAACTTAGGTTAGGTAAGGTTGAGTTGGATGAAGGGAGGGTCTACTACATCGTGTTGACAAAATGAGTTGTTAGATTCTACTTGTGAGGTTGGTTACAAGGGGTGTGCATTTTAATGGTAAGTTTTGAAGGGAATCTAGGTCTGACTTTCTGCCAGCTCTAGTAGTCTTGTATCTCGTTTGTGGTAATATGTGTGGCTAAAGTGGCCTATGCTAGTGAAGAAACTTTTGTTTGGTGTTATTAGAAGGGGACAGTATACAAGAGTAAGATGGTTTTTATTTTCACTTTATATAAAGAATCCTGAGACAGAATGATAATGGTTCATTTTGTTGATAAAGCTACTTGGGAAATATAATAAAGCAAAAATGGGGAATTTGGTTGTTGTGCAGTGATTTTCACTAATTTAAGTGAAATTAGGTATTGTGTCACAATTTTATGAGTCCTTGGTTGTGAAGGCAAGAGGGGCTTGATAGGCATGTAGGAAGAGTGAATGGCCTAACCTTATTTGGAAGCTAGTTGAGGAGTGCACCATTGATGACTCCTCTGTAATGATGAATTTTTTTTTTTTTTTGTTAAACCCGGTAATTGCCTTTTCAGCGACTCTAACTCAAGACCGTAGGTATAACTAACCCCAATAATTAAAGGGCTTGCCATCCGGCCACAAGGGGAGAGGTTCTCCGTGGATGTTTTTGTTGATCTGTGATGTTGAAACTCTTAAGTAGTAGAATTAGCATTGGTTTTGAATGCAAGTTGTTGTTTTGTACTGCAGAGTGCTTCAGTGTTTCTATTGATATAAAATTTCCTTCTGATACAAAAAGAGTTCATTGTAACTTCTGGGTATTATAGCTGAAAGAATGGAATATGTTGGTAGATCTATTAGGTTTTTCTGAATGGTGGATGCCCTCCTTCATGTCACATGTTATGCGTGATTATTTAGTTAGAACTAGAAAATTATGTTATTCACACTTCACGCACATGCATATGTACTTAAGAAAAACAAATATCTTAAGAACTTAATAATATTGTCCTGAAAGTTTAATTGTGGGATATTTACTTTTTAGGTTATTAGAAACCCAAGTGACTGGGAGGCCGAGAAGTTTGAACTTGTTGAGACTGCACGGGTTCTGGTTGGTATGTTGAGCATCTTTATCTTAACTACGTATCTGGATAATGCTAACATCATATTATTCATATAAACAGAACATTGTTGTCTTCATGTTTTACATTTACAGGATCACTGGTACAGGTATTTCTGATCAGCACTATAATTTCCCTCATTGATAACATGTCTCCTCCCAAGAGAGCTTCTTAACGTTTCTTGTAAGTTCAATATTATTTGGCCCGGTTGTAACTTCAAAATTACTAACCCTGTCAATGGTTATAAGAGCAAAACCTTTTTCTTTTTTCTTGTGGTTCACTTTACATCTTTTCCATGCCTCACAAAGATTGTTAAAAAGGAAAGATATTTTGATGCCTTCATTATAGCGTTCTATCTTTATGAGACTTGCTTTAATCTTTTTTTTTTCTCTTTTTGGTCCTTTTTGAAAATTAGTGCACACTGTGTTTCTGTTTGACAAATATCAAGAAAAAAACACAGCTTAAATTTGATTAAAACATGCGCAAGCTCGTGAGATAGAGTCTTGCACCTCTCATTTGCTTATTTTAAACATGCTGAAGAATTTACTGAACTAAAGAGACTGTTTATGAATTGGTTCACCTCTCATCTATTTTCTATAATTGCTGAAGAGGAGAAACAGTGAGGATGAAAGTTTGGTGGAAACGGGTTAATTTTGGAGTGTTAAGACAGAGAGCTGGGAACATGTCAACTTTCGAATTTCGATGCCTAAGCAGTGTACGATTATTTGTTAAAGTGATTACCCATTTTCAAATTATTGCTTGGCAACTGGCAAACCAACTTTTTAGCATTTGATTTGCTTAAGGAGTTGATTGAGATACCATTGTTCTTCACATTTCTGATATGGTAAGGGCTCTGTCCATTCAATCTTACTGTGTCCCAAGTTTTGATAATGTACTAATAGTACTCCAATCATTTCGTTAATACTTGAGTACACGATGAACTACGAGATTAAAAGAACTTGGGATCAAAGCCCTTGAGATATTTCTCGTGAACCAACATAGATTTGTCGTAATTTATTTTCTGTTTAGAACCGTTTAGACATTTGACAAGCCTTTCGCCATCAATAGCTATCATTTGCTGGAGCCCATCATTTTTAGTTGATTGCTTTATTTGTCTAATTGTTTACTATGCGCATGTGACATTTGCTCGGAGTTATCTACAATTCAAATTTATAAGGCCGAACGACTGGCACCCACTCATAGTTTTCTGTAAAGATAATTTGGTACTCAAAAAGTTTAGAAATGACAAACAGTCATTTTTCATCTTATTCTGTTAAAGATTTTCGTTTGCTAAAGGATAATAGTGCTGAAAAAGACTGAAATGCCCTTAAAATTTTTTATCTTCACTTCTTCGTTTCTTTTTGGTCTCTGTTTCCTTCCATCTCTTTATTTTCCTCTCCCTTCTTCTCTCTTGGATTTTACCAGAATTCAAATAATGGTAAAGGGATAAATTTTATTGATTATATTTACTCTAATTAAAATTAAATTTCCTAAAACCTCTTTCACAAGATCTCTTTCTTGTAAAATCATCTACACAACCACTTCACAGTCCAGTCCAATCTCCCCCATCCTCCACCGTTGCAAACTTCTCCAAACCACCAACAAACACATCTTCATAACCTTGAAGAATTTCTTCAGAAGCGAATATCACCATCCTTTGGTAGCCAATAATTTCCTCATTCGCCCAGCAAACCCACCCACCCCTTTCACCTTAGAGGAAGATAAAGAGATGAAAACAAAGACAGATGAAGATAAACAAGAACATCAAACTTTAAAAGGTATTTCCGTCTTTTATATTACTGTTATCTTTAGTAAATAGAAATCTTTAACAGAATCTAATGGAAAATAGTTATTTGTTATTTTCAAACTTTTTAGGTATCAAATTGTCTTTATGACAAACTATGGGTAGGTGCATGTCATTTGCCCAATTTCTAAACATAGACAAGAAATAAAATAAAATTGGAGAACTTCCTCTAATTAGTTTGAAGGTTTGTTACGGATTTTTGCGTATATTATTCAAAAGGTTCTGAGTTTGAATCTTCACAACTACTAATAAAGGATAACCACTGAAGGTTTACTTGACTGTTAACTTCCAAATCTTAGAGGACTAGTTGAGATGCACATAGTGGCCTGAACACCCTTGGATACCCAAAAAAAAAACCAAAAAAAAAAATCAAATTGGAGAACATTTTTAGTTAAATTTCCGCAATATATGCAGCTAAGAAACTTATATTTTACACAAAGGATAATACTATACTTACAACTCAATCTCATAGATACAATGAAGTGCACACATTCTACGAAATACAAATCAACCTCACTAAAACTTTTACATACTAATCCTGAGGTCTGAAAATCACTTACATTTTTTCTTGCAGCAACCATGGCATGTCAAGCGGCGGCTTGGCCAACCGCAGCAGCCGAGTTTTTAATAAGAAATATACATAAATATATCTATTTATTTTTTTTATAATTATTAAGCATGAACAGAAGCATAGCTATTGATCAAAGACAAGGCATTGCTAGTCATATGAGCAATGTTCGCAATTCGGCTTCTCACCATTTTCCCATTCACTGTATTACCTTCAAAACCATCGCTGCAAGTGGTTTCGTCAGTCAAAGCAGCACTAACCCAAGTCTGTATATCACTCATCATAAGCTCAAAATTAGAAGCTTTTATCTGATCCATCTCACCAATAGACCTCCTGATCTCATCAACTGAATCACTCAGCTCCTCTAGGCAATCTTGCATGGCTTCCACCTCTCTAGGGTTCATCCCGGAGCCTTTTGACAGCTTTAACATGACCGCCGAAGTTGATTTAGCCGTTGCAAGAGTCACGTTAAGGGCTGCATGGGCAAGGAGCTTAGGACTAGTTTGGATTAAGCCCGCTTGCCCAGCAAGCGAGGTATAGCAAAGTCTGGGATAAGTTGTAGAGCTACAAGATGTTTTAATGAACTCTGTGCTAACGCTTTTAGGAGGCACGGGGTAGTAGAATCGAGTATGGGCTGAGCTTGAGTTTATGAATGAAGTAATGGCTAGTAGAATGAGAAAAGAGTTGAGCAAGTGTTTTGCAATTGAACCTTCCATATCTGTGTTTAATTCTGTAAGAAATCTCGGAAGTTGGGAGGTAATGAAGTGATGAAAGCAAGAGGAGAAAGGTTGCCCAATTAAGAGGGGGAAAAAGTTGATATCCAAACAATGGAACCCACCGAATGTCAAGCTCAAAAAGCATGTGTTAATCCCTTTAAAGATGTAGAGATTTTAATGTAGGCAAGTTGCCAGTATGGACATAATTTAGTTTACTTCCTTTTGAGTAGGCTACTTCTGAGTAGGCGACATGTAAAATACTATAAATACATCAAAGTTGATATTATTATTAATATTTCAAGGTTTTAAGAGACTAGTTGAAATATGAACAAACTAATGAACATCCTTTGATATCAAAAAAAAAAAAAAAATAATAATAATAATAATAATATTATCATTAATTTTTATATTCGTATATTCATACGTAAATATTTTGAAATTTTAAAAGTGTGGTTTATGATTGACAAACAATCACTAGTTTAACATAAGACAAAACTAAAACTAAAACTAAGATTAATCACGAATCCTTAGTTTATATGTTGAAAATTTCAAAATATTTGCATCTCATACATAATATGATATATTCAATTATTCTAATTGTTCATTCTATTTCAAATACAGTAGTTGGATTTTGAAAGTCTCTGTTAAATAATTTGAATTTGAATTATGAGTACTTTTTAAACTTAATTGAATGTTTGATCAGTAGATTGATTTTTAATTTCTTTATAAGTAAGTGTAACAAAATTGACCAGTCAATTAAATCGAACCCATTGGGAGTCGGATTAATGGAACTTAAAAGTGGATTAGACTGAATTTTTTTAATACAAATCAAACTTTATTATAATAAAAAGCAAGGCTGCTGATAGGTTTTTGAACTGGACAAATCAATAATTCTTGTTCATTACATATCATCACAAAAATTATGCAATACTTATCAAATACATACCCCAATATTGAACCAGGGATGTCGATATGGCCAATTGGCTAGCCAAAGCGTGGCGTTTTTGCGTACAAGAAAAGGAGTAGTTAGGACAAGTTCGTCCCTACTGTCTAAAGATATTTGTGTGGACAAAAATTAATAAAACATCTCGAGCCAAGAGGCCTTTTGTAACTCCTCTGGTCCTAAAACTTGTCAGAGTTTGAGATTGAAGGTGGCAAAAGGGGGCAGAAGACTGCCAAAGAATGCCTACAAGAAAGCTTGATAAAAGGGCAGAAATAAAGACCAAAGAATATCAAGCAAAAAGAGAGAATTGTATCTGTATTGTATTTTTGTAATGTGTAATTAGCCAATTTATACAGTGGCTTTGAATACAATAAAGGAAAGGTAATAATACTATAAAGGAAATACAATAAACTCTTAATTACAAAATATTACAATAATCAATCAAATAATTTGAGAATCAATGACTGCTTGATTCCAGCATAGATATCCTTAGCATTCCATATTTCATCACTCCCCCTCAAGTTGATGGTTTGTAGATATCAAAAACCCCAAGCTTGTGTAATAAATGAGAGTGTTGACGACTACATAAAGGCTTCGTGAATATGTCTGCTGGTTGTTCCGATGTTCGTATGTGCCTAGTCCTGATCATCCCTTTCTGAATTTTCTCCCTGATGAAATGACAGTCAATTTCTATATATTTGGTTCTTTCATGGAAAACTGGATTTGCCGTGATATTATTAGCAACTTTGTTATCGCAGTATAGAGTGACTGGTTTCCTGTTTTTACTCCCAAGTCTTTGACTAATCCAAGAATCCAGACAATCTCACAAGTTGTTTTTTCCATTACTCTATATTCTACTTCAGCTGAAGAAAGTGATATTATTGATTGCCTTTTTGTTTTCCATGATATAAGAGATCCTCCAATTTTAATGCAAAATCCTGTAAGAGACTTTCTAGTCATAGGACAAGTACCCCAATCTGAATCGCAGTACGATGTGATGTCGAAATTCCTATCTCGAGGTAAGAGAAGTCCTAATCCAGGACATCCTTTTAAATATTTAAGCACCCTGATTGCTGTATCCATATGAGATTGTTTGGGTTGATGCATGAACTGACTTAGTATGTGGACTGCATAACTTATGTTAGGCCTTGTCATGGTGAGATAGATAAGTCTTCCTACGAGTCTCTGGTAAGGAGATAGGTCTTGTAACAGAGGATCATTTTTTGAAGAGGCTGTCTCATGGTCATATTGCTGTGATGTGAGTTTGATGTTTTGTTCCACAGGAATGATGCTAGGTTTGCATGCTCATAAACCAGAATCGGATACAAGTTCTAAAACATATTTTCGTTGACTTAGAGAAATACCTATCGGGGATCGTGCAATCTCAATGCCCAAGAAATATTTTGGTTCCCCCAGATCTTTTATATGGAAATGTTTGTTGAGATGCTCTTTTAGGATGCGAATGCCACTCTCATCATTTCCAGTTATTAAAATATCATCAACATAAATAATAAGAGCAATGACAGTGGTACCTTTGTGCCATGTGAAGAGAAAGTAGTCATGCTTGGATTGAGTGAATCCCATGTTAGTCAGAGCCTCTGTGAATTTTGCATTCCATTGACATGATGCTTGTTTCAAACCATATAAGGACTTGCGTAGACGACATACCATATTCTCCCCCTATCTACGAAGTTCGGGAGGAAGGTCCATATAAATTTCTTCATGAAGATCTCCATGGAGAAAGGCATTATGGACATCCATTTGATGAAGAGACCAGTTACGGATGGCAGCAATGGACAAGAAGGTCCAAACAGTGACATGCTTGGCCACTGGGGAAAATGTGTCTTGGTAATCAAAACCTTCTCTCTGGGTGAAACCTTTAGCAACGAGAAGAGCCTGGTAACGCTCAATGGATCCATCAGCACGGTGCTTGATCTTGTAAACCCATTTGCAACCAATGGGTTTCCAGTGAGAGGACGAGGAACAAGATCCCAGGTATGATTCTGAGAGAAGGCACTGAGTTCATCGGCCATGGCCTGACACCAATGTGAATAGGAAACAGCTTCAGAGTGACAAGAGGGTTCCTGGTGTACAGAAATCTGACTGATACAAATCCTGTGGGCAGGGGATAGTTGATCATAAGTAACATAGTTGGAAGTAGGGTAAGTAGTACCTGTGGTAGTCTGGATGGTAGGATAGACATAATCTTCTGTCCAAACAGGTGGCCGAGTAACCCTTGTGGAACGTATCTGAGGAGGAATAGGAACAATGGGAGTATTGTCCAGTGGAGGTGGATTAGGAAGCTGGTTCTCTGGAGATGAATCAAGAGAATGACCAAAAAGCTGTGTTTCTGCAGAAACTAGTTCAGGGGCTGACTTGGAGGGTCCCATGTCTTGAATGGGATGCATGGTATAATAGGGGCTGGATAAGTCCGCTGCTAAAGGAGCTTCTAAAAAAGTGGGAGACTGCGGGGGTCTTTAGAGGGGGACCTGTCTAAAAAAGGAAAAGAATCTTCGTGAAAAACCACATCCCTAGAAACCAGGAATTTCTCTGCGGTGATATCATATAGTCGATAACCTTTCTGATGCATTAGGTAACCCATAAAAACACATGGAATAGCCCGAAGAGAAAATTTATCATGCCCCCTTAAATTTGTAGAGTAGCACAAACACCCAAATACTTTGAGATGATCAACTGTAGGTGGTTTACCAAAAAAACTTCATAAGGTGTCTTGCCATCTAGAGTCCGACTTGGCATCCTATTGATCAGGTAGGTGGTCGTGACCATACATTCGCCCCAAAGGGTAATAGGGATGTTTGCTTAGTGTTTAAGGGCACAGACAACCTCTAAAAGATGTCGATGTTTCTGTTCAATTATGCCATTCTATTGAGGGGTATAGACACAAGAGCTTTCATGAATAATACCCAGAGAGGAAAAAATTTTCATCCCTAGCATTATCTGTCTGAACTCGTTGAACTGAAACATCAAATTGGGTTTTGACCATGGACAGAAAATGGCTGATATGAGTGAGTGTCTGGGTTTTCAAGTGCATGAGGTAGACCCAGGTTCCTCGAGAGTAATCATCTACGATGGTAAGAAAAAATCTAGAGCCATCATGATTGGCTGTGTGATATGGACCCCATATGTCCATATGAACTAAGGAAAATGTACGGTTTGTGGAAGGCGTGTGTTTGGGAAATTTTGTGCGGGATTGTTTGGCAAGGGGACAAATAGGACAATTGGGTTGTGGAATAGATGCATTATGACCCATACGTTGATGCAAAATAAGAGAAGTTTTATTAATGTTTGTATTAAAAGAACTTTTATTTTCAGAAATACAAGACATCGAATTTGTAGCATCAGAAGCACATATCCAATAATAAAGGCGTTGGTGAACTTTACCCGAGCCCATCAGTTTCCCAGTCAAACAGTCCTGAAATTCACATTTGTTAGGAAAAACTTTTATGATATAGACATTATCTTGACAAAGTTTCGAAACAGAGATGAGATTGAAACGGAAAGCAGGAACAAACAAGACATTATGAAGAATTAAATGTTTATTTAGTTGAATAGTTCCTAATTGGGTGGTTGGTGCATGTGTTCCACTTGGCATGCAAACTGATGTGTAGGGTATGGGAAATGTGTGGGAAAAATGTTTGGGATTGCAAACGATGTGGTCATTGACCCCTGAATCAATTATCCAAAAATTTTCTTTTGTAACATTGGAACAAAAAGATGTACCTGAATAGGATGTGGTATTGGTCTGTGGACTTTGATTTAGCAGTTGCAGGATCTGACGATATTGTTCTTGGCTAAACATAAGGACCGTAGCGTTACTCTCAGAATTGACAGGGTGACTTACTTGATTGGCAATGGCAGATCCAGGCCGTTGATTTTGGTTATGGCCATGTAGTTTCCAACAAGTGTCTCTTATGTGGTTTCTCCTCTTGCAAAAATCGCAATAACGATTTTTGTTGGACTTGAATGACCTATGGGAGGAATTAAAATTTATGGAGTGGACTGGGTTATTGCCTGAGTTTAGGCCAGCTGCAAAAATTTGACTATTTCTGGAATTTGGGCTAGTAACCAAATTTGAGCCCACACGGTTATGAAGCCCAATTGAGTGTGAGCCGTTGGATGAGGAGGTCAAATCGGGGCCGTTAACTCCATATAAATTATGGTTTTCACCATCAGTTTG